CATCAATTCTTCTATCATCCCTACTCATCATCCAGCTCTCTGATGCATATAGCAAGTGATTTCAAACACCGTAGCCTGTATCAGGTGAACCTTAGTCTCCAGACTAACAACAGTAGTCCATCAAAATGTCCAACATCCTCGTCCTTTGTGAAGAAAAGTAGCACTTTGTTACCTCCGCATTTCAGTTCTGGCAGCATCTGTTCCAAAATTAAGAATTTCCCAGAATTTCTTACCAATTCTTCATCAATCTTAAATTCTGGAGTGACAGACTACCGTATGTTCAATCTAATATGGATGGGTACAGCATTTACAAAGCAGAGTCATTATATCTTGTAGCTTTAGATCGACTTCAGCTTCTAATGGAATATTAATTTCCACGATAGCACTTTCTTGGTCTACTTCTGGCTACGTCTGATTGATTAAAATTTCCAATTCATTGGGAAAATGTCTAATTTCACTCAAACTTACTGATTTTCTTGTATGGCATTTTGGATAACCTGTGGGACTTGATTCAACAATTTCTTTCTCACTAGATCCAAACATGTTTGCAATTATGCAGTTCAAAACGGCTGTATAAAAAGTTTCTTGCTTCTTTGAAAGTGGTACATAAAATGCTACTTTTTACGAAGAACTTCAAGAGTAACATCAGATTTCAGTCTTCTTGGTAAGAACAGTGTTAGAATCTGGGGCTGTCAGCACATATAATACATTCTGTTCTCTGTTTTTAGAACTAACATCCTCAGCAGTTTCAGAAAAACTAGTAATATCATATAAGGGCTCTGATGGCCTGTGACAAGAAGCTGTGTGCAATTCCAAAGGCATGTGGTTTGAGGCCATCAGTTGCTCCAAGGGAGAAGGATAGGCAATCTCCTCCCATGCAATTAACAGCCTCTGAAAACCCAATGACGGGTCAGCTACGGGCTGGTTCTGACTCTACGGGATATAACAACAACAACAAGAAGTAATATCAAACCAAGACTCAAAGCTTTTCAAGTAATCAAATACATCTGACAACAAAAAATTTTACAATGACCGAAGTTCTACTAAATTGTTTTAAAAAGTGTATATCAGTCAAAAGTGTGTTTTGAGCATTGAAGCATTTTAATTCCATTAAAACAGCACTTGATGTTCTTAATCCTGTGTCTTTCATTTACTATTAAATATTTCCAACAGCAATGCTATAATGTATTTCGATCTCTCATAGCTTTCTCAAATGATGTGAGTGCCACAGGGTGAATCTGCAGCGTCCCATTCCATTTTAAAATATTTTTTCCATTTTTATTAGTTTTAATAAATATTTAAAGATATTTTGGATTTTCATTCATTCATTGCTGCACATTTTTCCCTGCCCACCCCTTCCCACCAGTTCGCTCCTCTCTTTGAAAAGAAAAAAAAAAATTCCTTCATTGGTATACAATTCCCCCATCTTAAAAATATTTTTTACCAATTTTTTACGTTCTTGTTGGATTCTATGACAAAAAACAGTAGGAATTTCTGGTATAAATCTTTTGAATTCAGCCATCCAATTAGGAAGTGTAGACAAAGGATCAACACAAGAAAAGGTCCAGGTCCTCCTCTCTGAATCATCAAGGCAATTGTAGCAATGCACTGAACTGTCAAAGACGACCCATTTCATCAGCTAAGACATCATTAACACCATTTTCCTAAAGCATCCTAAGCCATTCCATGCCTTCTACTTGGTACCACCACATCACTCCTCTCGTAAAGTGCTTCTGTTGTTGAAAGGGTACCAGTTGTCCATTACATTTATGAACTGAGTCATAAAATAATGAAATATTCTAACAGTGTGAGACAATCTGTCTTTATTTATACTATTTGAATCTTTGTTTTTCTGAAGATCTTCTAAGTAGAATTTAGCAGAAGAGCTTTCATCCTCATTCTCTTTACATTTTTTAGCCATAAACATAAATTCCTCTTTTGACATGACTTCCAAAATATTGTATGATTCATCTTCCCTTCCTCTTTTCTTTTTCATTACTGAATTCTTGTCACTTGCATCAAATGAATTTTTTTTGTAACATTGCCCTGGAAGTACTCACCAGGTTGTGCCAAGAAATCTGGAGGACAACCACCTGGCCAACTGACTGGAAGAGATCCATATATTTATTTTCATTCAAAAAAAAGGTGACCCAATAGAATTTGGAAATTATCTAACAATATCACTAATATCATACACTAGCAAAATTCTGCTGAAGATTATCCCAAAGTGACTGGAATGGTACATTGACAGAGAACTACCAGAAATACAAGCTGGGTTTAGAAGAGGTTGCGGCCCTAGAACCATTATTACCAATTTCAGATGGCTCTTGACAAAAAGCAAAGAGTACCAAAGGAATGACTATCTGTGTTTCATTGACAATGCAAAGGCATTTGACTGTGTGGATCACACAAATTGTGGCTAACCTTGGAGGAAAATGAGAATTGCAGAATACTTGATTGTGCTTACATGAAATCTATACTTGGATCAGGAAGCAGTCCTCAGAACAGAGCAGAGAAACACTGCATGGTTTAAAATGAGGAAAGGAGTACATCAGGGATGCATCCTGTCTTCATACATTTTCAATCTATATGCAGAACAGATAATTTGGGAAGCAGGGCTTTATGAGGAAGAATATGGCATCAGGATTGGAGGAAGACTCATTAACAACCTATGTTAATGCAGATGACACAACCTTGCTTGCTCAAACTGCTGAAGACTGCTGCTTCAAGTCAAGGACCGTAGTCTTCAATATGGATTGACTAAGGATGACAGAAGAATCGATGTCTTTGAGTTGTGGTGCCAGAGAAGAGTGTTGATCATACCATGGACCACCAAGAAAACAAATAGGTCCATCTTAGAGAGTTGAAACCAAGTTTCTCCTTGGAGGCTAAGATTTTGAAGCTTTGTCTCACATACTTTGTGCATGTGGCTAGGAGAGACCAGTCCTTAGAGAAGGACATCATGCTTAGAACGGTGGAGGGACAGAGCAGGAGAGGAAGACCCCAGATGAGATGGATTGATAAAGTAACTGAGGCAATGGGAGTTGGTGTGTCAGAATCAGTGAAACTGGCTCAGGACAGGGCAGGGCTTAGAACTGCTATACATAGGGTTGCTACAGGTCGCAGGCAACTCAATGTAAACAATCACCACCTATCTGTATTCTGCTGGTTGTTATGTGCTGTTGTCGCCTGTCACTATGTATACAAGTACAGAAGGTATGTTCAAGACTCTTTTCTAGCACAACTCAAAAGCATCATCTTCTATCATCCTTAGTCACTGTCCATCTCTCTGTTGCATAGCACGTAACTGCACAGACAACGGCCTAGGTTAGGTGCACTTTAGTCTCTAGTGTGGCATCGTTGCTTCTCAGTACTCTATAGAGGTCCCTGACCACAGATTTTCCTAATGTAATTCATCTTTTGATTTCCAGACTGCTGGTGCCAAAAGTGTTGACTGTGGAGCCAAGCAAGCTGTAGCTGTTACCAACCTCATTCACTTACCCATCTATCATGGTGCTGCCAATTGGCCCAGCTACTAATCTGAATTACAGCTTTTTTACTTCCCTAATATGGGTCTGTGTAGTCCATGAGCATATTGGATTCTAGCTCCATTAAAGCAGTAAGATTGGTGTTGGGATGAGTAAAAAGAGGTGCAGAAGCATAAAGGACATGTCTGACCTTAATAAAAATTGGTTTTGTGTTGTTGATGTTGACTGGGTGAAGTAGGTCAAAGTCAGATATAGCCATTCCTATGCAGTCATTGCTTTTTTTACACTGAAGCCTTATGTTTTAGCCAAAGCCTTCTGTGCAACTTGGACTTCTTTACAGTACTGGTTTATGACTACACATTAATGATATGATGTTTATGTTTATGGTTATGGTTATATTATAAACATCAAATTGCTAAAATGCTTACCACTAGCAAATTGAAATGCTGGTATAATGGGAAAAAATAGCAATTTAAGCCCTAGTTCATAATGTCTATATTGTCTATGCTTCTAATTTGCATACATTCCTTTAAAAATAAGTTGATGGGATAATAAAACTTTATTAGAAGAATATACTTCCCTTTTGAATCATTTAAATGTTTCTACATTCAGTTGTAAATACAGTAATTGAACATCAATACAAAGATGCTGGGATATTTGTTAATATTTGTCCAAACCTATTAACTTAAAATAGTAAATAATTGTTGCTAAAAGGGGGAGACCCAAAACTAAAAAAGCAGATGCTATAGGGAATAAAATTAGGTAAATTCAAAGTGTGAGATGGACAAATTATTTAAATTGCACTCTATCATGTAAAGTATAGTCACTGTACTCCCAATATCAAAATATAAACTGAGTACCTTAGAATACTCAAATTATGCATGTGTTTGGTTTCTAAAACAAATGTTCTAGCTTAGTAGTACTGATTTCTATGAGAACACACTTTCAATTCTGAAACAAGTCTATAACATAACCTTGAAACTATCACTGAAACTATCTTCTAATTTTGATCTAGATTATGTTTTATTAATTTTAAAATTCTATGATAAATATTAGATTGATATTTGGATAAAACCTCCATAATCCATGGTGACCTGCCTATAAAGAAATTTATCTCATATCCTTTCAAATAGCACAGTATATATTTCTCAAAAAAGCACCTAAAACATTTTAAGAACTTGAAAACATTTTTAATATACTTCAGTAATACAATAATACAGATAGGGCTGCACTAATAGATCACAGAGTATTTTCTCAGTGTGACATCACTTGGAATCCAAATAGATAAAAATTCTTTTTCTTGCTTTGTTCTCAATTCTTTCACTTCTCACACTTTTCGTTTTTAAGCAAACACAGTATGGGCTTGGTAATCTGAAACTACACAGGAATTGTATGTCAGTATTAACCTAGAATTAAGTTTATACCCACGGTATAGGATAGTATAATAGGATAATACATACGGCTGGATTCAGGGCTTAAAATATTTGAACTGTCTTGTAAAATATATCTGACCTTCAAATGATTCTCTATACTGGACAATATTTGGATGCTTCATGTTTGCCAACACTGCAACTTCTCTCCTTGATTCTTCCCTTTCTTTACCAGACATCTTAAATAAGAGGAAAAGATATTAATCAATCAACAAAAATTTAAAAGTTCATCAATATTACAGTGGTTAAGCAGATCAAGATACAGTAAACAAAATTAAAAATAACAAAATAAAATGTATGAGTTGAATCTGGAACATAAATATTTTAAAATATACAAACTAAACTGTAATAGAAGAGTGACTACTGTGGTTGGTTTTTTTTTTAAACACATACACAAATTTGTATTATAGGACTAGTTAAAAAGATAAACAGATTAAATGAGTGGCTCTCTCTGAGATGATGGCGAACTTTCACTTTAGGTTACATAGTGCTATCCTTTTCACTTTTATAAGCAGTTCACCGTAACCAGACTACTACTTCAATAACCAGAACAAAAACAAGAATCAAAACATTTCAGTGTTATAAGTAGGGAGGGGGAGGAATAAAGAGAAAAAGCATAGTTGAAAAGAAATGAAAACTTACCCTTGAGATGCTAATTTCCTTGATAACATATTGCTTATCATCTTCTTTGGATTTAACAAGAACGGCTTTTCCAAAGGAACCTTCTCCAATCTTTTGTAGTCTAGCATACTTTTCCATGGTTCTTATTCTAAGACATACTTAAGAGATGTGCTAGATATAAAAAGATAACAGTCAAGTAAAGTATACTGTTTATTACTGTGTTATGACAAAATACCAAGATGGTTAATTCAAATTCTAATTTCTCAATGATTCAACGAGTTTTTAAAAATACTTAAAATTTTTATTAAAAGCTATGCTTTATCACATTTTTTTCTCATGCAATCTAGTTACAGCTAAAAAGCCCAGCAGTGTTAGTTCAATTTTACAAGAACACTTTATAAAGTCAAATATTGTGTTCACTGCGTATCTAGAGAAAAATGCTTTTCTACATGAATTAATTAGTAGCTCGCAATATTGCTATTGTTAGGTAGGTGCCATCTAGTTGACTACAACTCACAGCAATCCTACAAAGAACAGCTCTGAACATGCACTATCCTGAGCCAAACTCAGTATCTATGACATCCCTGACCCCACTGTCACAGTCACTTGGTCAATCATCTCATCCAGGGTCTTCCTCTCCACCTCTGACCCTCTACCCTTCCAAGCATGTTTTTCCCCCCACAACAAGCAACATGGCCAAAGTATCTGAGTTGTTGTTGTTATGTACCGTCGAGTCGTTTGCGACTCACAGCAACCCTATGTACAATAGCCCTAAATCCTGCTCTATCTTGTGCCAGTAGCATTGCCTCTGACACACCCATCCTGATTACCCCAGTCACTGAATCAATCCACCTCACAGAGGGCCTTCCCCTCCTCTACCAAGCATGATGTCCCTCTCCAAGGACCTGTGTCTCCTTACAACATGTCCAAAGTATGTCAGACGAAGCCCTAGAATCCTTGCCTCCAAGGAGTAGCCTGCTTTAACCCTCTCCAGTATTAATCTGTTTTCTTGGCAGTCCATGGTACATTCAATACTCTTCTCCAGCACCACAGCTCAAAGGCATAAATTCTCCTTCTATCCTCCCTAGTCATCGTCCAACTCTGACGCATAACAAGTGACTGCAAAGACCATGGCCTGTATGAGGCGCACCTTAGTCTCCAGAGACACACCGTTGCTCTTGAGTACTTTAGAGAGGTCCCTAACAGCAGACTTTCCTACCGCAATAAGTTTTTTTTTTTATTTCCTGGCTCCTGGTGTCAAGAGTGTTGACCGTGGAGCCGAGCAAACTGAAGCTGTGAACAATCTCAATCTCTTCGCCATCCATCCTGATGCTACCAATTGGTCCAGAGGTGAGAATATTTGTCTTCTCGACATTGAGCCTCAATCCATACTGAAGGCTGCAGTCCTAGACCCTCTGCAGCAAGTGCATGAGGTCCTCCTCAGTTTCAGCAAGCAGGGTTGTGTCATCTGCATAACGCAGATTGTTAATAGATCTTCCAGCAATCCTGATGCCACACTTCTCCTCATAGAGCCCAGCCTCTCAGATAATCTGCTCTGCATACAGGTTGAAAAGGTATGGAGATAGGACACATCCCTGGCATACACCCTTCCCAATTTTGAACCATGCAGTGTTACCCTGCTTTGTTCTGATGACTGCCTCTTGGTCCAAGTATAGGTTTCGCATTAGCACGATTCAATGTTCTGGGATTTCCCATTCTTCTCAGAGTCAGCCACAGTTTGTTGTGATCCACACAGTCAAACACCTTTGCATAATCAATGAAACACTGATAGACATTCTTCTGGTATGCCTTGCTTTCAGCTAAGATCCATCTAACATCAGCTACAATATCCCTAGTACCACAACCCCTTCTAAACCCAGCCTGGACTTCTGGCAGTTCTCTGCTGATGTGCTATTCCAGTCGTTTTTGGATCATCTTCAGTAGAATCTTGCTTGCATGTGAAATCAATGATACTGTTCTGTAGTTTCTGCACTCTGTTGGAATGGGAACAAATATAGATCTCTTCCAGTCAGTTGTTCTCCAGATTTCTTGGCACAACTTGGTGAGCACATCCAGGGCAGCATCTGTTAGCTGAAATATGTCAAATGGTATACCATCTATTCCTGGGGCCTTATTTTTTGCTATTTCCTTCAAGGCAGCTTGAGCTTCTTCCTTCATCACCATAGGATCTTGCTCAAATGTGACTTCATTAAATACTTCTGTATCTGCCAATTCCTTTCGATACAATGACTCAGTATATTCCTTTCAGTTTCAAAATCCTTGCTTCTAAGGAGCAATATGGTTTCACCTTCTCCAAAACAGACCTGTTTGTTGTCTTGTAAGTGCATACCACAACTCAAAGGCATCAGTTCTTCTGTCATCCATATTTACCGTCAAGCTCTCAGATGCAAAGCAAGCAACTAAGAAGACCACTACCTGGGTCAAGTGTACCTTGGTCTCTAGACTGACATCATTGCTCTTTAGCACTGTGGAGAGATCCTTGACAGCAGATTTTTCCAATGCAACTCATCTTCTGATTTCCTAACTGCTCTTGCCAAGGATGCTGATTGTGGATCCAAACAAGATGAAATCGATAGCAACCTCCATATATTCTCCATCTATCATGATGTTGCCTGCTGGACTGATGAAAACCTGTTTTCAAGATGCTGAGATGTAATTCATATTGAAGACTGTAGTCACTGATCATTTGTAGCAAACGCTTCAAATCTTCCTCAGTTTCGACAAGCATAACTCAGATTGTTGATTGTTGATGAGTTTTTATCAAATCCTGGTGCCACATTCTTCTTCATAAAGTCCAGCCTCTTGAATGATCTACTTAGCACCTAGATTAATCAAGTGTTCTGGAATTCCCATTATTCTCATGTTGTTATGTGCCATCGAGTCGCTTGAGACTCACATCGACCCTATGTACAACAGCCCTAAACCCTGCTCTATCCTGTGCCA